CCCGGAAGCAATTAATGTTGGGTAAAGTAACCCTAGGAAGAGAAAATGAAGGCGCTTACCTTCCCAGAAGCAATCTTGTGATGTTCAACTGATGATACCACTGTGGCGTTCGAAATTGATGAATTTCAAAAATTTTTTAAGATAATGGGTCAAAAACGGAAACGGCGAATTTCCTCCAGTCGAGAGGAGGAGGAACAGCTCGCGAAAATACTCTTCGGCGATAAAGCGGGTTTTCCGGAGGGATATGATGAGAGCATCGGCAGCAGCGAGGACGAAGAGGAAGAAAAAGAAAAAGAAGCGGAACCAACCACTGAGGTATATTTAAACTCCAAAAAAATAGCCTCATTCTTAGCCCCGTAGCGAATAATGTGGCAAAAACAGCCTGATTCGAGCGGCTTTTCACATAAATCAGTGCAGAGTTAGTGATGTTGCTGGGATGCAGTCTGGGCCTATCGACCTTGGACTTAAATACCCACTTAAGGTTAAAGGAAAAACGTGAGAAAAAATGATGAAAAACATGAAAGGAATTATCAAAGTAGGTAAGAAATGTTTCGGTCCATCAAGTCGTATACGCATCGCTCTGTTCGATTTATGCACTTTTCGTGTGATTTTTAGTAAAAGCATGTGAATATATCGTGGTAATGGGCAGTATTACGTCATGATCCTCTATTTATCTTAATGGTTTTCGAGGCAATCTTAGGATTATCTTTCCACTATTTATATTTATTCCATTTCACTTTATCCAAATTTTTGTTTCACTTTATCTAAATTTACCGTAACAGTTTGTTTTGAAAAAAGTTATTTCTTCATTCTTTTTTTTAATATTATTTTTTATGAAAAAAGTTATTTCTTCATCCTTTTTTTTTAATATTATTTTTTAATGTTTGCCACTATTTTTAATTATTCTTTTGGCAATTGATATTAACATTATACCTTCGGTCTCTTTGTTTTTTTTTTTCTGTGATTAATACCATTGGCGGGCGGGGGACCTTCCCCCTTCCCCCTTTTCCAGGGGCTTAGGTATCAGTTGTTTTACTGTACAGAAGTCTGTTAGGTATCTCTGCGGATTCGGAGTGAAAGGAGGTGGGGACGAGGAGGCCTTTCCCCTCCCACAGGGGCTCAGGTATCAATTGTTTTACTGTACAGAAGTCTGTTCGGTATCCTCTGCCGCCCCCCCCCCCTTCCGCTCAAGAGCCTTGGGAGGGGTGCAGCGTGACTTTCGAAGGAGTGGGAGGGGTAGTGACAGAGGGAG